TTATTAAAAGTAAATATTATATTTAAACAATCACTAATTATATTTGTTTGATTCATAAAATAAATATGAATAAATCTCGCATTCGTATTTATATAATCATTTAATATAACAAATTCCATTTGTGAATTATTTAAATTTTTATTACAATTACTTATTGTTATTGAATGAAATGCATAAATATTATGTGTAAATAAATTTGATGTATGAACATGAATTGATGTAAAATTTCGAATTGTATCAAAATAAAAATTAAGTTTTATATCTGATTGTCGTTTCCAACCAATCCATTGACATTCAATTTGATCTTTACTTTGAATTACATCGATTAATTGTTTATTATCATCAGGAGCAATGATTCCATCAGTTAACTGACCGAGACCATCTAAAAAAATATATCAGATATGTTGACCTATATCTTTTTTGCGGAAATTTTAGCAAAAGTTCGACTTAGTTCGAGGGATCATAATAGAAAATAGAGGGTCTTTTATTACGAAGGGGTTATATGAAACTTATATTGTAAATGAGAAAATATGATACTGTCTTAGCCATTCCAGGCCCGTAGCCAGGGATTTTCTAAGGGGGAGAGGAGGAGGGGGTGCCCGACTTGTTAAGGCGGTGCACACCAGTAGGAAAATAATGCTTTGCTTCGCGAATAAAAGTCTCATCCGTAGCCCCCCGCCCTCCTCCTTCAAGGTTTTTTTCGCCAAAGGGGGTGCTCGGGTACTCCATTCAACTCCCCCCCCCGGCTACGGGCCTGAGCCATTCTCATCAGAAGCTTATGAAATATCATATTTTTATAATCTGATTCTGTCTATGTAAATGAAGAACGAACCTTTTAATATTCCATTTTGATTTTCTCCATCATATGTTTCATCAAAAAATTGTTTATCACCTTGTGGTATTGTATATGACATTAAACCACCTAAAATCATAATAAGTAACTCGTTTTACTTAAATTCTTTCAAACCTGTATAAGGACAACCATATAATTCTAAACGCATACAAATATGTCTTGGTATTAATCCAGTAACAATTGGTATAATACGAATTTCTTGTGCAATAATTGCTGGTAGAATATCACGTATTGTTGGGATATAACTATTAACATTTCCACTTAAAATCTACAAAATAATTTTAACTTGAATAAAAAATGAATCGATTTCTCTCTTACATATTGTTCAGAGAAATCTTTATATTTAATCCATTTTTGTTTTCTATCTCGTCTATATTCGATTTGAAATGCATCAGCAAATTGTTCATTCTAAAAATCAAATTATTCTAAAAGATTAACCTCATGTCTTAAATTTTACTGGTGTTAAACTAAATTTTCCTTGAAGTTCAATAAGTGTAATAACAGTTAAATTAACTAGATCAATTTGTATATATTCATATGTTGTTGATGATATCTTATTAAACGGACACCAACCATAAATTTCATTTCGAATTCTATTATATCATAAAATATTTTTATTTTCAAATCAAAAAAGTTTCTCTTACCTTGCTTTCGATGCAACTGTACTATCATTTATATGACTACTTGATGAAAACGCTGAATCTAATATCTTACCAGTTTCAATACCAAGTGGATATCGACATGTTTCTTTAAACGACAAAAAAAAGAAGAAATGTAAATATTATTGAATTAATTATTACATACCAAGATTCAATTGTTTTGTATATGAAATACTGAGTAATAATACAAATAAACAAACGATTTTCTTCATTTATCTAAAAAATATCAGCATGACGCTTTTGAGAGTATACATAATATTGTCATGTATATAATGAATGACGAGAGAGAGAAAGAGAAAAAAACGATTCATTCAATCGTAATATACAGTGATAGACATACTTTCGATTTTTTTTTTATTTTCTTTTAATTTGATCGATCGATTGATGATCACTTGAACATGAGTGGATATTGCAGATATAGAGAGTCCGCTTACTGTTTCGCATGATTAAACTATACTAATATTACATATATATATATAAATGACATAAACGTTCTCTCCATAGGTATGAGTAGTTTAATTGAATTAGCGATTATTGACCATAACATACCTATTGTATCATCTTGAGGATATATTATCGATTGTTGGATATATGACACGAGATGATGCGCTATTAATGCCAATATAAATCATACAATGTTCATATTCATGCACGAGAGATGACTATCGGGATAATAATGTATATTAAATGACGATAGGATGCGATATAAAGTGAATGATAAAACAAAAGGAGGAGGAGGCGACAAAATTGAACACATTAATATTATAGATAAATCAAACATGCTGTATAGAGGTGTTTCGATAAAAATTAATCATTCGATTGATACATAGACAGTTACAATTGTAACATTATGAAATGATAAATAACCATCAATTTATCCTAGACATTCTCATTTTTTAGTACTTAAAGTGTCTCCTACCTTTTCTTTTTTGTTTCATTCTAGTTCAATGAACGATTTATATATTACCGCATCTTCTCTTGAAATCATCTTACCATTAACAATACAAATATATATATATATACTATCTACTTTTTGAAGACGACAAATGATTGTTATAGTTTAAATTCAATTTAACACGCAGTTGTTTTTATTGGTCAACCGGAAATTCAGTTCATTAAATCTTTCACTCCCATTCAGTTTTTTTTGTTCTTCTGCTTAAATAACTGAGTAATGATAATCTCCATCAATAGTAAAATGTCAGAGAGATTGTTTCCGTTTTTTTTTTGTTAACTTACTTGATTCTTTCAAATATAGTGAGGCTTATGAAAGAGGTTCACAATAAAAAAAAAAGAGAAGGAGAAGAATATGACAACGATGTTCTTCCAAGCGAGAAATGGATATGACGTTGGTGAAACGAAAGAAGAAAAAAAATGAAACGTACCTTTCTCCTATTCTTTTCTATTCATACATTATGATGAGACTTATATATATATATATAAGATAGATAATTAGAGACGCAAAACAATGCGAAGATGAGAATAATAAGCTCACAATCTTGCTAAATTGTAAATATTTTCACTAATTAAACACTATATAGAATGGTTAGAAAAAGCGATGTATTTATATTTAGAGAAGAATGAAGTGCTTCAGGCGATTAACAACTTGTCTGATTAAAAAAAAAAGAAAGATTATTTCTAACATATACAAACCATATTTCCGATTGAGATACCTTATTGAAATAACATTGACATGATTACTTTTGAAAATAGTCAACATTCATTCGATGATAAAATTCATTTATAGATAGGTGTAAAATCATTATTGTACTAGTTGTATTGTCTCAAATTTCATTTAGTAGAAAGACATGTACACGCACCTTTTCTAAGCTGAAGTGGCACTCAAACTGACTTATAGAAGATGAAAGTTGGATGTGTATTTGGCCTTGATAGATTGCACTTACCTTTTATATATACATGTATACGTGTTAAATTAAAAAAAAATAGTTATGATGGACAGATAGTTAAAAAAAAGTAATTAAACAAAATTCGTGTCGTCTTTATTATCAATAAGAAAAGACAAAGATGATGCAATTGTATGAATATAGCCGTTAGGGGAATTGTGAAATTATGAAATGTTGTAATAGTTTTTTTTTTTAATTTGAAAATAGACACGTATTTGATGTAGTCAATCAATCAGAACTGTGTTAATGATAAGAGACCATGGTGATCGATGAATATTTTATAGACACATACATTTTTCTGATTAAGTATGTCATCGTGCAAAATAGGCCAAAGTATAAAAAGAAAAAAATTTTTTTTTTGCATCTAAAGTTTGTCAATCTAATTAAATCGATCTTCATTTCAACAGTTGTCTTTGCAAGTTCCTCCGAGAATAATGTTCGTTTTAGATTTATCATCCATCGATTTTAGAAAACTTTGCAATACTTATTGAGACAGATGATCTAGATTTTCATGTCTCAGATTACTGGCTATGATGATGAGTCTAATCAGACTCAAGAAAAAAACCCATGCATTTGTTTATCGATGCTAGATGAAGTAGTAGTATCTTTAGTATAGCTAAATGTATTAAATGCTATCATCAAAACTTATCAGATATTAATCTAAGATCGATACCGTATAAAATCTTTGATTACACTCAACAATAGATCTTCTATATTTATAGTCACAAACATGACTTTCGTACAATGAGATTAAGAAATACTTTCAATGGATGATTTCAACACTGATAGGAACCATACGAAAAAATAGTTTCTGAATACATAATCGAATTTCCGAGAACATTTACATCAAAGATAGTTTCAAATAGTCTGCGAATACAAACATATGTTTAATAAAAGAATTGAATTTCAAACTGCAAAAATCATGAGTTTATTATACTGCTATAATAAGTTAATCCAAAATATCATTTTTTTTAAAAATTAAATCAAAATCAAAATCTATCTAGCTTTTTTTTGGAACACAATATTCTCTATCAAAAGAAAAATCATTAATCACATATCATACTTGAAAAATCATCCATGAAAAATAAAACAAAACAAAACAAAAAAAAACCGGTTTGATTATTATTTCTTTTTACTTGTTGGAGCTTTATAATAATTTGCTGGTACAAATGGCATTTTAACTATTTCAGCATCCATTGTACGATTACGAACATTAACAGCTACTTTATTGCCAATTTTTGCGTATGGTGTTTCAATATAAGCCATACCAATATTTAAAAGTTTAAGTGATGGTGATGGACAACCACTTGTTACTTTACCAATAATATGATCATTTTCACCACGACCACTTCGTATTTCTGCTCCACTTCTTGGACATGATCCAATTGATTTAATTCCTACACGTTTTCTTGATGGACCTGTTTTAAGTTGTTCTAAAATAATTTTTGCACCGGGAAAATCAGCTAATTGTCTTCGTCGTTTTCCAATAGTCCATGCTAAATCAGCTTCAATTGGTGTTGTTTGTTCATCAATATCATTACCATATAAACAAAGACCAGCTTCAAGACGAAGAGAATCACGAGCACCAAGACCAGCCATTTGAGCAATACCAGATGATAATAAAGCATTTGTTACACGTTCAATATTTGCATGTGATACACTTATTTCAAAACCATCTTCA